TGGAGGAGTTGGAAGGATCGAGAGGTCGGATAGAGCTAGTGGAGGTGTCGGTGTGAGGCGGAATGGAGGTCGGAGTCACCGGAGGAGAAGAGGTCTGCGATGTTTTTCACGTGGAGGAGATGAGTAAGAGCGATCGAGAGACCGAATGCTTCTCTTGGTCGGGTATTTAACGACGGGAGCTGGAGTGAGATCGAGGCAGGTTCATGGGATTTACACAGGAAGTGCGCAAGATTTTCGGTACATGCTGCAGACGGCACCGAACAGCGGGATTTCGGCCGGTTTCGTGGATACGAGGTTTGATCTGATTTTTTTTTTTCTTTTGTGCTTTACACAGAGGTCAACAACAGAGTTGGAATAATATCAATACATGATTATTACATCCCCTCAAGAAGAAAAAATAGAGGCCTTGCTCTTCAAACTGCAATCCGTATCCCAGAAGGATAAAATACTAAACCCGTCACGTTATCTTTTATACCTCACAAGCAAGAAAGTGAAAGAATGATTAGATTGAACATACACACCCAAAACAACATTTTTTCCCGAGAAAATTGATGCTAGGACCAAACACAAAAGCTGGGACTATGTTTACCACAAAAAAAAAAAAGAATATACATACAATGCAAAAAAGTACATGACTTAATCACGCCCATGGCTACATGCCTATACGTGAATCCCTCTCATCCATAAATATTCACATCTTGTGTCTCCCACTGTCGCAAGTATCTAAACCTTAGGCTCATACTCACTCTCCCATTTCTCTTTCTCGTTATATTCTCATATATTGCTTTGTGGCTCCTTTGATAGTAGATCAGATCATTACTTCTCTCTCGTGAGCGTAAGCTTTAACAAGCTAAATCATATAAATATCAGTATGTCTTGTTCTATAGTTGTTTGATCTCTTCTGTACCTCTCTTTTAATTCATCATACTTTGATATTGGAGGCATATCCGCATTTAATTTAGATATTCCATTACAACAAATTGATATCAAAGCCTATTGTGGAGTATGATGGCCATGAATTGAGATCAAGTTTGATGGCCCAAAGAGATTTGGCCTTCGTAGAACCAAGCGCAAACTTAGAATTCATGTCGCATTCACATATGCTTGCGAACAATGCGTGAAGTACAAGGAAAGATGAATGAAAAAGCTCTTTGAAAGCTCCAACCATGTTTGGCGGAAAATGTCTTGGAGAAAATAACCACCAAGGGATGATTGTAGATCAAGATGGAGTCTTTAAACAGAAAGAAAGCCTCTCCAAAATATTATATCAGAAGCAAATACTTCATTTGCTTTGCATGCCGGAAGATATACCTAAAAGTCACAATTGAATTAATTTAATAATATTATTAGTGACTTGAGGAATACTGATGTAAGTGCGGATGATGAGGATCAAGCTCGATTGTTGTTGTGTTATTTACCATCTTATAAGTCTGAATCTTGATGTAAGTGCTGATGATGAGGATCAAGCTCAATCGTTGTTGTGTTATTTACCTTCTTACAAGCATTTTTATGACACAGGACTCCAATTTAGCATTAATGGATAATTGGCTCATCTTGTTCATATCACATGTTCATTGATGATGAGATGACTTTTACTTATGCGTCAAATGATGGTTACATTCATCTAGAAAAAAACAATTAATACAATTTTTATGGTTTTAGCACTATGCAATTGAGGCCGCGGGATTGTGTGACTATAGAAATGTATACACTAACAACAACATCAAGAATTTATCCCACTACGTGGGGTCGGCTACATGAATCCTTTTTCTCAAATGTGTATTGTTAAGAGTCAAATTCTCATTTAAATCTAATAAAAAATGTCATTTCTAATATTTTCTAACCAAGACTTTTTAGGTCTGCCTCTACCTATACCTCGCTTAACATAAGTCAAACCTAATACATCTACTCTCCTAACTGAGTAATCAGAAGGCCGATATTTGATGTGACCAAACCATCTAAGGCGACTCTCTCTAATCTTATATGCCACTAGAGCTACTCTAACCTTTTCACGTATATGCTTGTTTTGCATTCTATATCCATGAGTAAAGCCACTCATTGACCTGAGCATCCTCACCTCTGCAACATTTACCGTCATTGTATATTTCTCTTTTAATGACCAACATTATGCGCCATAAAGCATTGCAGATCTCACCACGTCTTATAGAATTTTCCGTTAAGTTTGAGGGATACTTTTCTATCACACAACAGGCCCGATGCATTCCTCCACTTCAACCATCCAACTTGAATTATACTAATAATATCTCCATCTATTTCACCATCACTCTGAATAATAGACCCGAGATATCTAAAACGTGTACTCTTATTAATGACTTAATCGCCCAAAATCACAAATCCTTCATTAGATCTATAATTACTAAAATTGCACTCCATGTTTTTGGTTTTAGATATACTAAAACAAAAAACCTTTAGACTCTAAGGCTGACCTCCATAATTCAAGTTTACCTTCAACTTCCTCTCTAGTTTTATCAAAAAGAATATCATCAGCAAAAACATACACCACATTACATCCTTTGGCAAATGTCTAGTAAGAACATCCCTGACTAAAGCAAAAAAGATATGGGCTTAAAATTGATCCTTGATTTAATTCAACTAAAATGGGAAAATACTTGGTTCAACCTTTTGTAATTGAATAAGTAACAACTCTAGCACACATACCCTTAATGACTTGAGTATAAGCATTATTAACCTCTTTCTATTCTAAAACTCTCCGTAACACTTCTCTTGGAACTTTATCATAAGTTTTCTCTAAATCAATAAATATCATATGTAGATCCTCCTTATTCTCCCTATACTTCTCTATCAAACCTCTCAATAAATATATAGCTTCCATAGTTGACCTACCCGGCATGAATCCAAATTGATTTTGAGAAACATTAATATCATGATGTAGCATATACTCAATAACTCTCTCCCAAAGTTTTAAAGTATGACATATTAACTTAATACCTCCATAATTCACACAATCTTATGCATCACCTTTATTCTTAAAAATAGGAATCAACACACTCCTCCACTCATCTGGCATCTTTTTAGTTTTCAAAATAATATTAAAATGTTTTGCAAGCCAAGAAATTTCTTCATCTCCTAAGCATTTCGACACCTCTATTGGAATATCATCAGATCCAACAGCTTTTTCGCCCCTCATTTTCTTTAAAGCCTCTCTAATTTCGATTTTACTAATTCACCGAGAAAAATAAAAAATCTCTATTTAAGTAAGAATCTAATATTTTTAGTACTCTTAGTGAGACATATACATGGTACACATTTCAAGTGATGTTGAGGTTCTTAAGGTTTGCAAAGGTGCACTAGTTATCATGAAGGTCATTAGAGCAAACTCTACGTGTTACAGCGTGCAACTTCATGTATGGCTGCTTCAGTTATGTCCTCATCTATGTAGAGCATCAAATTTTAGTGAACCAAAAAAGGAGTTATCTTATTGGTTAAAAGAAAATAAGTTCAGATTCATTTTGCATTATATGCTTTGGATTGAATGCAAATGGCAAGAGGTAAAGTATTGAGTAAATTCTTGATTGTCTAGGTTATTAAAGACAACTGTGTGACAACATGACTGATAGATTTTGAGATCCTCAATTTTTATAGCTTCTCACTAGTCAAGGTTTCTTATGTTTCAGCACTAGTCAAGGTTTCTTAGAGGATTGATGATTTTGACATACCCTCTGGACTAGGGAATCGTTGCATGTGAGAAATCTCATGAGGTAAACTTGATATGAGGGTTTCTTTTAGCTTCTTTTGACTAAAACTGGGGGTAATAGGTGTGTTGGGAAGGACTGGTATGAATCATTATATTTTTATACAGTGCTTTGTGGTTTCTTTAATAGAGAATTGGATCTTCTCTCATGTACATAAGCTTTGTTCAAGCTGAATCATGTAAACATCAGTGTTTATTGGTCTCCTGTACTTTGTGGTTCATTGAACTCGGCCATGGAAGCACTATAGGTTTAGACATTTCGTTACAACACTCTAAATAAAACAACATCATAAAAGCAACAAAAGGGAATCAAGGTCACAACAAAAACCACATAATTCTAGAACCCAATGGTCCCTTGCTAAATATTGATTAAAAGTTTTTTTTAAGAGTAATGTACGGTGGGGGGAGGTTCCAAGAAGTTTAGTTTCATTTTGCATTATATGCTTTGGATTGAATGCAAATGGCAAGAGGTAAAGTATCGAGTAAATTCTTGATTGTCGAGGTTATTAAAGACAACTGTGTGACAACATGACTGATAGATTTTGAGATCCTCAATTTTTATAGCTTCTCACTAGTCAAGGTTTCTTATGTTTCAGCATTAGTCAAGGTTTCTTAGAGGATTGATGATTTTGACATAACCTCTGGACTAGGGAATTGTTGCATGTGAGAAATCTCATGAGGTAAACTTATTATGAGGGTTTCTTTTAGCTTCTTTTGACTAAAACTGGGGTAATAGGTGTGTTGGGAAGGACTGGTATGAATCATTATATTTTTATACATTACTTTGTGGTTTCTTTAATAGTGAATTGGATCTTCTCTCATGTACATAAGTTTTGTTCAAGCTGAATCATGTAAACATTAGTGCTTATTGTTCTCGTGTACTATGAAGTTCATTGAACCCGGCCATGGAAGCACTTTAGATTTAGACATTTCGTTACAACACTCTAAATAAAACATCATCAGAAAAGCAACAAAAGAGAATCAAGGTCACTATAAAAACCACATAATTCTAGAACCCAATGGTCCCTTGCTAAATATTGATTAAAAGTTTTTTTTTTAAGAGTAATGTACACACAAGTACAGAAAACAGATGCAGTCCACAAGAATCTACTGTCAACTCCAAACTAAACAAGTGCTATGCTTGTAGGAACTTATCACAGAATCATCAATTCAGAATTCACAAGCTCAAAAGCATCTGTTTAAATGAAAATTCCATGATATCAATAGGCATGATTATATTCTTTAATAGGTAGAGTTGGATGGAAACCTGCAATTAATTTTTGGACCAATCTTCGGCCAATAAATCCGGTAGCGCCAGTTATTGATACAACCAACTGGCTTTTCTATTACACAGGAAAACATCAGATTATTCCATAGGCCTATAATCACCTAATTAAAGAAAAACTAACATAATTCGAAGTGGAACTTTAGTTCCATCAGCTATATACGAAAATCATATTCACAGAAGTTAAAAGGCAACTTTCTAGGAAAAACAGAGAATGCTTGCAACTTTTCACCAGAAAGAATTTAATATGGTATTAATCTACTCGCTAAGCAAGCTCATGGTACAAAAGAAGCAACCATAAAAGATAGAATGTAGATAAAAAATCAAGATCAACAATATAGGAAATGCAGAGAGATATAACTTAAAAACAGTAATAAACACAGAAAAACAGTTTAATCAGAAATTCCAACTGCTCTCTCTAATATATTATAACACAAGGATCGTAGGAAAGAAATTAATCTTTCCATCAATGCCCTATGGAACCTTAACTTCATGTTGATTCGTCACGTCTCAAACAACTTGCAAAGGAATAACAAAAGCAAAGAGCAAAACTACCTTCAGCGTATGACCAATGGCTAGATCACTATCCCTATGTGCCAAATAAAACAATAGCCAAGACATAAAATACCTCATGCCTCTGCACAAAGTTTCTAATCATGAGCCTCTTATTAATTAATTTTATCTATGGGCCTTAGCCCAAGCCATATACTCCTTGATTTCTAGCCTAGAGGTCTTCAATATCAGTCTCAATATATTAGGCAGCTATGATACATAGATTGTGAAAACAATCTCTCTGCTACAGCTGAACAAGCTCCCCAGTAAACTCCAGTATTGCAGCCGTATTCTCTTTGTGGTTTATCAAAATCTTTCGTCCCTAACTGAGTGCAAACCCAATGATTATTACTATCATTGCTCTATATAACCAAAACCTTCAAATCAATGCTTTGTACTTATTGTTGCAATGGATAATTCAAGTTAGCAGCTTCAATTCACCATTCTCACAGTTCAATCTTCTCTCTTTTTTTCTATTTCTAACTTCTATAATTCGTTTATTCATATTTACTCATTCCAAATGCTATCAGAACAAGTATCAAGATTGAGAACTTAAGGAAAAAGGGAACATAAAATGACAAGTTAGAGGGCATCGGCTAAGTTTTGGTCAATTAACATCCATAGATTGTAATGGGGATTTGGGCAAGGGGAGCCACTAGAATCACTGATGTGCTTGACCGGACAATGAGTTATTCCATGTAGAATACCTTCAAGCCCATTAGCTTGATGATTTTATGAATTTGAGAGTGCCAACATGGGTGATTATCACCTGTGAGGGGAGTATTAATGATGCTCTTAACACTGATCTTGAGATCTTGAGCTATGGTGGGATTGGTATCTTGGCCACAGCAGGAAGCAAAGAGTTTGGTAAGGATGGATTGTTTGCAGATAAAGATCCTGAGTTTTCGATTGCAGCATGAGATCAATCAATGGCTTTGGTTTATATGTCGTTACGCATTTTTCTAATTTCCACTCACCAACTTGCCACTAATAATTCATGCATTGTATCCTCTGACACTCATGGCTATCAAATCAAATCAAGATGACAACTACTTCATTCCCCCACGATCCATGTCATAATGAATTGTGTCCAGTCAACATTCCTTCACCTGTGCCATCACCATCCTACCCTTCAGCCTTTGTTACTGCTATAGTAACACTAGACTTATGGAACCCGTGGCTTGGACATAATCACTCTTCAACTCTATCAACTCTAGAAGCAATCCATCTTTATGTATTTTAGTTAAAACTGTAGCCTTTACTCTTTTAATCTAGTAGTGTCACAAATTATCATTTATTTTATATGAAAATTAGAGCACTCGGCCTTTGCAAATTATTCACTCCATTGTATGGGATCCTTCATCAATTAACTCTATTCAATAGTTTAAATATTATTTGATGTTTGTTGACAATTATTCTTATTTTTTATGGGTATATCCTATGTTGTATAAATCTGAAACCATCACTAAGACTTTGCAATTTAAATCATACATACACCATTTCTAGTATGAATCCTACCTGAATATCATAGTTTAAATCATAAACTATCAATCTCCTTAGCATTCTTTCCAACCCATTTAATTTCCCGAATGCATAGAATATTTATTTTTTTATGAATCATAATATCTATTAATATCTATTGTAAGCTCTCTAGCTCATTACAAAGCCAAATTAGTTACCCAAAAATACAAACAAAAAAATGACATCAACTTCATCAAAACTTTAAGCTCACTTACTTAAATGCCCGAAATCAGAATTATTTACTTCATGTGATTCTTTGCAAGTGGTTGATCTCTCAAATTGATGTTTCCAACACATTTCTTATAATACCCAAAGTTTTGTCAAATGTAAGCATGAGTTTTCTTCAAACTAACAGCAAATCCATATTTAAACTAGGAGCTCAATAATATATTTTTATTTTCATCTCAGTTATAGGTATTTCAACTTCACATTTTATTTACTGTAGCTATCATGACTTATTGCAAGAAACCAATCAACCATTTATTTAATTGTATTACTGTAGCAAATCCGCTTAAAATAACACGCATAGGCTGGATGTAATCATACAGCTGGGAGTGGAGGAAATTGTGGTAGTGGATATTTGTGGCAGAGCATTAGTATTAGTTTAGTATTATATAATAAAAGTTAAGTTAAAACCTTGGCAGTAGTTTTCATTTTTTTTTCCTACCTGGCATTCTCTAGAGGAGGCAAGGCTAGGGAGCTCAAGCTGTAGGCTGTAAGTTTGATAATAAATAGAAGCATAGTCAGCTTGAAAAACCTTTATGTGAGCAGTGTGGGAAGTGGCATTTTGGTCAGTGTTTGGTGGGATCGGGAAGATGTTTTAAATGTGGTGAGATGGGTCATCACAAGAAGGATTTCCCTCAAGAGAAAAGAACCAATATCATGCCACAATGATATCAGGAACATGTACCATATAGGTGATATCTGGAAGGAGGCAATCAAATAGGAAAAACTCAGTTCCAAGGAAGGCCAGTAGTACAAGGAAAACTACAAGTTCAGTTAAAAAGAGAAGCATCAGATCTTAAAGGCAATCAACCTGTGAAAGCTAGAGTGTTTGTCATTACACCCCAGGAGGTTAAGAATTGAGAGGAAGCGGTTACAGGTATACTTTTGATTTCTAACAAGTTTGACAGAGTTTTTTTTTTTATTTTGGTGCATCCCATTCGTTTATTTCTGAAGAATTATGTTCTGATTTATCTGTTGAAACTATATATTTTACACCTACCTTGTGTGTTATGATACGAACGGGGGATAGTTAGCCTGCCAATAGGATGTGTCTTATGAATTTGGATATTCAAGGTCACAAATTTTCAACAGAATTGATTATAGTGCCTATTAAAATGTTTGACATCATCATGGGGATGGATTGGTTAGTTAAAATTTTGCTACAATTCAATTTTGGAAGAAGAGAGAATAAAATTTACTTTATTAAATGAGAATACCTTTTATTTTTCCTGTGAGAAGAATGCAACATATCCTCTTATGTTAGTGCAGTAAAAATGGGTAAAGACTTAGGGAGGGGTGAGCTAGTGTTCTTAACTAAAATGGAGGTCTTAAATAATGATGTTCAGGCATTGCAAAATGTTCCAGTTGTCTCTGAATTTTTAGATCTATTTCCTGAAGAATTACCTGGATTACAACCTGAAAGAGAAGTTGAATTTGGCATAGAATTGCAGTCAGGAACATCAATAATTTACAAATCTTCTTATAGGATGGCCCCAAAAGAATTGCAGGAGTTAAAAACTCAGTTACATGAATTAATGGATAAGGGATTTATCAGGGCTAGTCATTGCCCTTGGAGTGCACTTGTATTTTTTGTCCTAGGCTAATCATTGCCTAGGATGGCCCCAAAAGAAGGATAGATCCATGAGAATGTGTATTGACTATAGAGAACTGAACAAAGTAACTATCAAGAACAAATATCAATTACCACGAATAGATGACTTATTTGATCAGTTGGCAGGTGTCACAGTATTTTCCAGAATTGATTTAAGATCATGATATCATCAAGTGAGAGTTAAAGAAGCAGATGTCAATAAGACAGCTTTTCGGACTAGATATGATCATTTTTGAGTTTAGAGTGATGTAGTTTGGGTTAACAAATGCTCATGCTATCTTTATGAATATGATGAACCAAATTTTCAAAGACTAATGAAGAAAAAAAAAATCGTGGTCGGGAAGGTCATAGTCGCAAAAGCCATTGGATTAGAATCCTTAAAAGAAGTCTATGAATTCATATGGATTTTTGTCCCCATTTGATACCTTCGTATCTGAGAATCAACAAATTCCACCCCGCGTTCCATTGATATGGGCACATCTGAGATCAACAAATGCTCGGGGCTTCTGGTGGCAACATGCTATTGGGTGGTGGTCCCGCTTGAAGAAATCAAGTAAGGGAGGGGATTGTTATTTGTACAAATGGTACTTCGAACTTGGAACGAGCATGAAGAAATTCACGGGGGAGCAAGTCCAAATAGAAAAACTCCCATTGGGTTTAGGGATAATCAGGCTCGAACTGATGACTTCCACCACGTCAAGGTTCGTGATTTCATCCGAATTGAGTTAGTAAAATCCACTATTTCGTATATCGATTCTACGAGAATTTTTATGAAAGCGTTCCATTTGCTTCTCTTCCCTGGAAGTTTCATTTTCCCAGAAAACGGGGTTGTGGGAGAGCAATACAAGCGTCATGCTACTAGGCGAAGCGGTGGAGTGCTGCACTCTAGATGAAATTTCCAAACAAACAATTTCAACAAAATCTTTCTCTCACTAGAAAAGTAAATGCTTGAGCTTGAGACCATGTTTATTTATGGCATGAAACAACTCGCAGCATGGGTCTTTCTTATTAATATGTGACAAAAAACTCCACTTGAATCATTTAGTAAGATGAACGAAAAAGATTAGAAGAAGATACAAGATTTGAGAATCACCCTCAATACCTCGGCATAGATCCGACCTTTGTAAATGTATAAAACACGCAAAGAA